TTATCTCGATTTTGCTACTTTTCGAAACCCGGCTCCTGCATTTGCCATTCCATTCCAATATTGATGATTGCTTAATATCTTAGAATAATTTACTCAGTGCACACCCTGCATTATCCCAATGATTTTTGGTGTCACATTACCAGCAAAAGGTAATAGTAATTGAATGCTTTAGGCCAACTGGTATTGGATTGTACACTATGGCAATATGGCACCATGCTTGTCCTTGCATTGTAATCACTAAACCACATCTTTAGTTCATTGTGTGCTCATCTATCTTGGTATACATCTGATGCCATAGATTAAATACGAGTAGCACGACAAAATATCTCGTATATTTAACTGTTAAGTCTGTTCAATTTCATTTAGTCTAATGTACTAAATACATCATAAATAACTCTATTATCATGTATTTGTTTAAGGTAAAATGGACAATCGTAATTTTATTAAGGGATATTTATATTATTTAGTCTAGTCTTACATGCCAAATTTACCCTTATTACTTTATTGTGATTTCAGATAACATTCTAAAAATCGATATCAAATTCTTAAAAACTTAAAAAGTGACTATAATCAATGAAGCCTTAATTGAGTGATGATATTCATCTAGAGTCTAGATGATCATTAGAATATTGGAGTCATTGCCACATTGTTGTGACTCAGTGTCACATAGACTGATGATCATCTAGACTCTAAATGAATAATATTATTTGTTTTCATTTTTTAATTTTTTTCTTTGTTCAACTTTAAGCATGCCAAAATTATGGAATCAAATCACTGTCACAAGAAATATGAGACATCTGAATCATACAAATAGAGTAAATAGTAACTTCAAGTATTAGGTCAATCTTTATTATCCAACCCTTGCTTCAAGTTCCAGATGTTTTGACATTCATCTGCTTGTACCAATTAACAAAAAGATCCAGACACTTTTAGGCCCAGTTTCTAACCAACCTGTTTACACTTGCTGTGCCCAATTGACACACGAGTGTAATCAAATAAACAGTAGATATGTGGGAGAAATTCTGCAAAAATGACTGATAAAAATGACAAATAAGCATGTTTGATTACAATATTCTCACATATTAGAAACAACAGAACATACTTCAAAATCCCGTCAATCTGAAAATTTTAAACATGTCAAAATATTGTCATCGACCAGCTGAATCGATTTGCCATAGTAACTGACAATACAAAGCAGAAGCTGATGAGTAAACAACACAATCATTTCATATTCCTCTATAAATAAGCATCTCTACATTCAAAACAATGACAAATGCCAGTCATAATATTACCAGAACATATTAAATACAACTCCTGGACCTAAACTATAAATATAATAGATGAAGATATTTATTAATAATGATAAACAACAAAAAGAATGGGGGAATCCAATGTACTCAATCTCAGCCAAATTTCTACATATTATTTTAAGGCCACCATAAAAGAAAAGAGGGGGAAAGTTTAGGTGGCACACTCTGAAGGTCCATTATTGGATTTGGTTTTGTTATACCAAGTATCATCAACAGCAATATGTCGAAGTAATGTCCAACCGTGTCATTCTTTATACTTGAATCAGCGATGTCTAAATGCTTCCACCTTTTCCATATTCCCTAATGTAAAAGAAAAATTTCTAGAGAGAAAAATGCTATCGTCGCTAGAGTTCATGGATCCCACAAGCAAGCAGGGAACAGGGAGGCTTCTCTAGACTGATTGAGTGGACACATTCTGAAGAACCCGAGAGTAGAATCTCCAAAACACATTTGTTGCATCTATAGCACTTTGACCGAATGGATGATGCTCAACATATTTCCTTACATCGTCACACATCAACATATCTTCCAAATAAACTAGAAGATCACCTCCGGGACCTGTGATGAATGAGTATATTAAACAAGCAATCTTCCATACAATGAACTAAGAAAAGGGACAGCACTGTGCATAGCCTTCAGTTGATAGTCAAACCTTCATCAAATAATTTGTGAAAAGATATTGCGCAAAAGTGCTTCTAAATTAAAAAGGCGGAGCAAAATCAGAGATTGAAAAATTCAGTATTCAAAATATGTTGCTATCACGTAGTGTACTAAAGCTTCATTCAGAACTTGGCTGGCCAGTTGTGCTCATCCTTTCATATCTTTACATGTGAAACCTAGCCGCGGAGTTATGTGACACGGGTTTGAATTCCGTAAGCATAAATTCTTTTTCCGCCATAAATGTAAAACAAATAATTCACGGGCATATCCTAAATTGAACTTTATTTTGTGTGTACCTACCTGTATTCTACTCTTGTGGTTTCACCAAATTTTAGAGGGACGAAAAATTACCCTGACCTCCCTTGTCAATGACAAACTCCAAACAGAATACAACAATGAAAAACCAGCTGACACATAAAGAACAAGGGTTTTGCTACACGGAAAGGGCCCTGTCCGTTTAGAATAATCCAAAGAACAATATGGAAAAGAATCTCACCTAGTGAATTGTCACTTTTATCCTGGTAATGGAAGGAATGTGGAAAAATTGCAGTGTGTAGCTAAAACAATGAAAAACAAAAAAGCAAGAATTAGGACATAAACTTAACTAACAGAAATGGAGAAAATCGAATAATCTGAGAGAAAACGTAGAAAGTAGTGAGAAGCTTACAGGATTGAGCAAGGCCTTGTAAGGAGAATCATCCAACAATAATGTGTTCGATTCATTATAATATCCCTTCTCCCAAGGAAGATTAGGATCAGCTTTTTCCCATATTTTCTTTAGCTCCTTCATGACCAAGGGTTTTGTTTTCAAGAGTTTTGTACCCAGTTTGAGTACTATGCGACATATCCTGCAAAAAAATGTACAATTACAATTCAAACTTATAAATTCTAAATCCGAGAGTAAAATCAACGAATAGGAGTTGAATAAGGTTGGGTAAGTTTGACTGCCTAAGTTAACACACCTATAGCATCCAATCGCACCTATATGAGTTGAATAACCACTCGCCAAAAACATTCATATGGTTCAGTAATTATGAGCATTCCTTGATTGGAAGGTTGTAGCCCTGGCAACATGGACAGGAGACAAGATGGACATATCGAAATGCAGTATTTCAAAAAAGTATCGATACGGCCCGTCCCCAATATACTGATTAGAACAATATGATTTTTTTATTTTTTATATTGTGAAGTAAATTTACTTTTGTTAATTCCGTCGTGTCTACAATATATCAACAACATTTAGACAATGTATCTGTCAGTGTACTGGCAATGTATCCACCAGCATGTCGGACTTATTGTTGTATCCAACTCTACAAAATAAAAAATAATTTAGACACACCGCCTAGCATTTTCGACACGTGCCGGCAACGTGTTGATGTCTAACACGATGTATCTTTGACGTGTTAACAATTTGTTGACGATGTGTTCAACTGTGCAAAACTAAAAACTATGGGTGTGTTTGATTGCAAGGGTGGAAAATGGGTGGAAAGAAAATGTTTTACAGGGAAAAGATTTGCCTAGAAAATGTTTTATAGAGAAAATGATTTTAAGTGTGTTTGATTGGTATAATATTCCACCTAGAAAAATATTAAATTTTGCGTTCGTTTGACTTTATTTGACTTGAAAATTGTCTATTAAAGTNAGTCAGAAACCAGAATTAATTTTCCCACCTAAAAGGTGGGAATATTCTTTCCTTACACGCACAGAAATTGGCGCGTAGAGGGAAAACCATTGTCAAATTTTCCAAGGCAAATGATGGTCATCAAACACTACAAAAAGGGAAAAGTTGGAAAATGTTTTCTTTTTCCACCCATTTTCCATGCTATCAAACACACCCTAATTTGAACATGCTCCTTAGCATTTTTGACATGCGTCAGCAACATGTCGGTGTCCTATTGTCAGACCAGGAGGGTGTCAATGCATCCTTGTTGTAGCAATGCCGTAAATAAAATGATAGCAGTACCACTTTACTCTCTCTAAAATGTTTTCTTGATGCCAAGCAATTTTTACCATTGAAAACAAAACAATACATTAGGCATGGTAAAAAATATATTTTTCGATGTAGTCCTTTTATTTTGGTAGTTGTGAAGAAGATTACCCAACAAAACAGCAGTTTGTGTTGTAGATCTCCCAATAAATAATTGGCAAAGTTCTCAATAATTTTCCTGCACATTTATGGAAGGGAAACAAACAGCCAGTTAGATAGCTAGCAAAGGAATTAATGTTAATATTTCTTTAAGAATTTGATTGCTCTTGGCAAATAGAAGACGAAACATAGCATAAGAAATACGACATCAGAAAATAGCACAAAGTTCAACAAATACTTGGATCTTGATGACCATATGCCCACATCAAACTTCTCGAAGCAAAACTTCAGAAAATCATCACAGGAGGGTCTCTTGAATACTACAAGAGCAAAGTGTTGGTTGATTAGGTTTTAATAACTAATTGGTCATCCTAATGTCATCATAAGTTTATATCATAAATAATTTCACAACATTGATAAATATTTTATTCTCACCTGCCCGTCCCCAGATATATGCATCCGCAATACAGTCTTTTGGTGCTGGCATTACAATGTCTGCAAGTAGACCATTGACATCAAGGACAAGAAGTTTTCTCCTAACACATGCAACTGATGCTATTTCCAGATATAGACATGAATCATTTGAGAAGTGATCTTTCTTCACAATAGATGATGAGAGATGCTCGGTCACCTCAACATCAGATTCTTGAGCAGTGCTCTCGTTTTTGTTTAGCATACCTTCATTCTCTAGTCCATTATTTACATTCGACAAGTTCTTACTTGACATAATATCTGATTGTTCCAAGCACTGAAGTTCATCTTTATTTTTAGTCTTCTTTTTTCTCTCAGTCCCTTCTGCAACAAGATTTCCAGTTGTCCTTGTATCAATTTTAGGTGGTTCGACCTGCAATTGAGCAGTTGAATCCAATTCAAGATGACTGTTTTGAAAATCCTTATTGGCAATAGTACAACTTTTGCCAATGTTGGGTACTTCCAAATTATCATCCATCTGATCCATGGTTTGCAGTCCATGTTTTTCATTGGCCTTCCTTTTCAGTCCTTTTTCTCTTCTTTGACTATCTCCATCAGGATTTTGGATTGAATTTGTATCCATGGTAGATGATTACGGGTACCTGGATGTCATTAGAGAACCACCAATTAACTATTCGATTTAACCTTCACAAACAATACTGTGTCGCATGAATGCTTAGACACCCATAAGTAATTTCTAACCCAAAAATAAGCACAATCTTTGAAAAGTGTGGAAAATCACATGATTAAACAACATATATGTCATTCTATCTTCTTATTTAGATCAACCTCGTGCGAAATACTGTGATGGTAAAGGTCCCCGTTTCATCATTCATATAAATTACTGAAAATGTCACCCATCAATTGTAGGCAAGTCACGTATATAAAATAAGAAAAATATAAACACATCAGTCTTCTTCAATGCCAAATAATGAAGTGGATAAGGAATTAAAACAGTAAACAATAGCACAAATTAACGAGTCCATTAACGAGTTTGTCAATATACAATCTTGCAATGGAAAGGGAAGTCGATTAGAAAAGTAAAGTCTTTTCCATACCTAATAAAAAGACCCGCGAACCTTCTTTCAAAATTAATCAGTGAATTGATCGGACGATCATCACATGCTTGTAAAAATTCTGGGAATGACGAAAATTATACTCACAAGAAAAGAGTATAGAAGCAAGAATTGCTACTACGCCTCGTTCAAATGAATCACGTTTGTATTAAAATTCAAAAAGGACGTTTTTATAAGTCGCAATACTTACCGACACCACTCTTATTCAAGCACGATGCTTCGACCCGCGGCAAGTAAACCAACAGATTCAACTCCTGCAATGGCACGAATTGGTTCCTTCATTCTCCGCAAATCGTGAAGAATTATGCAACAGAAGCAATATAAATAGAAAGCAATCTCTGCTGCAGAATTTTGAAACCTCAACCCATCTCAATTCTGATAAATCGTGATAAAATTAAGCATATCTGTATAAGAATCACCTTGCGCTGTATGAACCTTTGCAGAAGAGGAGAAACAGGGCAGCAAAGCAAGAGCTGTATCCTACTCCTATCCTGTGTAGACTGGGATGTTTGAAAGATTGTGAATTTTCGTAAAATTTAGGCCCCGTTTGGTACACATTACTTTTTTTATTTTCATTTTTCTACTCATTTTCCACTACACATTCCTCAATAAAATAATATTTGTCATCACATCAATAATTTTTCCTTCATTTTTAACCATACATTCTCTATCAATCTACTATTCAATAATACATTCTTTTAAAAGAATATGTACCAAACACATTATATTGAAAAGTTAGTATGTTCCGATCGAGTAATGATGTAGAGCAACCAATACGGATATGAGAATTTTATTAAGTTTCGGTGATGCTATTTAATACCGATGATGTTTAGTAAGAGTTTAGGTTGTCATATCG